AATAAATTTAATTTTTATTCATAAAATAATTGAAATAGAGCATATGGGCGGACAAAGTAAAGTTGGCTCATAAATGAGGCCTGGCAGAAGAATTGTGGAGACCTCTCGAGTAAACTCTGAAACTGAAACAAAATATATAGTTAACAGGTATTAATATATAGAAGATTTTGTTTTGTAATAACTAAAATACGAACATGCAATAACATAGCCGTCTTACCCTGATACCGAGCTTAGTTGCCCAGTAATGCAAGGTAAGGGTCACGTATAAAATATGTATTCTGATTAGTAATTTCAGAGTCTACGCGAGAGGCCTCCTACCGGTCCTTAATTATGGGCCAACTTTACCTCGTCTGCTCATAGACTCTATTCGTAGCAAAAACATTAATACATAGAAGAAAATTATCTCTATCATATTTATGCAGTCAGTCACAACAGTTAGTTACCTGAGAAGTCATAATTTCGAGATTCTAAAATATAGGGCATCTAGCCCCGGTCTCCTTTAAATATTAAGCATATTTTATACCTAAAACAAATTATTTTTCTTATCTAATATCATTTTTATTCCTGATTCCTAACTCCTAATTCGTAATGCGTCAATTTATTCTATTGCTTTGTATCTAAATAAAATAATTTTATTTTCCTCTAGGATTTTATATTACTTTTAATATTTATTCCTATTTATAATATGTTATTTATAATATATTTATAATATTATAATTTATAATATGTGTTCAATTATGTACAGGGCCTTAACATTGGAAAAATATTGCAGTTTAAAAAAAGAATGGACTTATTTGAGAGTTAAATTTCAGTTAAATTTTCGAGCGTCTCGATATTTCACATCTTGATATTTAACATCTTCTATCGTGAGTGAATGGACTTAAGTGACTTGTTATTAATTAGAACGAAGTTTTCTGCAACTATGTGATATTATTATTTCATAGAATAAAATTTTTACTTATGAAATTATTCGGAAAAATTATTATAAAAAAATGAACGAATAGCTACGTCTGCAAGTGATAAGAAAACATTGAGAAAAAATATTTTAAAATTTATTTTTATAGGATGTAAACTTTATTCATACAAAAATAAACTTTCACAGAAGAATTTATAACTTACAAATAAATTTTCAAATATTTTTTCTCAATACATTAGGGTAGAGTGCTACATGAGATCACGCACGTTATCAGTTACAGTCAGTGGCACAAGAGCATGTTTGCAATAATTCAAACAGTAGGTACCTAGCATATAATATTTTTGTGTTTCAAGGTTCGTAATACACGAAGTCAAAATGCATTGAAAGCTAAATTTTAAACTCGTTCATGCCTACACGATAATCGTACGTAAACGTCTCGAAATACAGAAGTTAAAATGCACGAAATGAAAATGTGAAAAATACGTTGTTACAATAAATTTGTCCTCATAATACGTTGTTACAATAAGTTTGTCCCGACGCCAAACTCATTGAAAAAATATAGACAACCGTATTGATCTGAGTTTCGGAAAAACAGATTTTTACTTTGAAACAGCAGTCGTATCAGCTTCGCACATGACAGTCATTAACAGAAACATTAGAGGAAAATCTTGTTCAGAATATGCCTCCTCGCTGTCGAGGCTTACTCGATAGTAGAGAGGACTGAACACTGTACTAGGTAAACGCATTTTAGTGCATATAATATACGTTAAGATTATATTCATTATTTTGTAAAAGACTGTGTTCTAGGAAAAACAAATACTAATACGCTCTTGTGCCACTGACTGTACGATATAGTTTGGTACAATGTCAAAAATGATAGATTCGTATCTTAATCTCAAAGAATTATATATCACATCAATATATATTACAATATATATTATCAATTATATATTACATTAATAGAAATAAAAAATCACTGTATATCGATTTTTTTCTGAAGACAGCAATAGCAAACCACATTTATTAGAAAAAAGTTTGAAATGATGCGATTTCTCAAACTGTGTATGTATCTTATAATTTTGCTTACTCTACTGAAAGCTAAAACTGACTACTGGAAATATACAATTTACAAAATTATATCATGAAAACATATAAACAGATAGCATGAAAAATTGTCTTTAACTTTTTTGTATTGTAATCGTGGTTGTAAGTCGGTTTGCACATCTTTTAACGAATAAAGTTGCAACGTTTTAAGTTGAGCCACTGCTGATATGTATATAGTAACCAGTTATAAATATATAAAAATTACTCTTCTTTAAATATATATAACTTTCTCTGAATTTAAAATAAATTCTTCTTTCCAAATCTCACAAAATATCACAAATATCACACTTTTACTGTTATTCCGGCTTTTGTCATAACTATGGAAAAAATTTCAGTTCAGAAAATTAAATGAGATAAACCAGTTGAAAAATTCGTTGGAGAGAAGTAATATCTTTATTACTGTGACCGAAAACATTTGTCTGAAATCATTTAGCTGCATTAAAACTCGATTAAGATAGCTGAGAGCAATTGGTGCTGAATATAAATGTCCTACGGGAATCTTTCTGTTCCTACAACGGGGTTTTTCATTTACCAAGTAACAGGAAATTCGGTTACTCTAACGAAGTTATTTTCTCCGTGTGATTACAGCATAAATGTCAGCAGTGGTTTTCAATCTTGATAATTTGAAGCGTTGGAACTTTATTTGATTAAAAATGTGCAAGCTGATTTACAACCGACTGTACAATTAATTATAATGATTAGTTAATAGAAATCGGTTAACAGAAAAATTTTCACTGAAATTCTGAAAATTTCGCGGTCGTGTCTCGGTCTTTTTTTGATGATGAGAAAAACAATTTGAAAGATCTTTTATTAGCGTCGATGCGGCGGTAGCAGGCCAGTTTTCGGTACATGTAACATATACATGTATGTTATATGTACCGGAAATTGGACACGTCCTTTGCGCCAACAGAAGAAATTGCATCGTTGCATTACCATGACCGCGGGCTTCTGAGCTCGCACCTCTTTGTGCCCGGCACAAACGTAATTTCACGCACTGCTAACATTAACAGCGGCACGTACAGTCTCGTTAACGACGAGATAATTTGGGACCATGCTAGCACGTGATATCAAAAGCTACGATTTTGCCGCTGCGCCATGACTACAGTCATCTCATTCGTAAATCTCATTAGTCTGTCGCGCTATCGTGGAGTTTTTTTGTCAGGAAATCGAGACAGAATGCGGAGTCACGAACAGGCGCAAATTTAAATGCGCATCCACCAGTATTTTGCAGTTACCTCTAATTTCTCATTCTATTTATGTTAACTACATGAATTGTTAACGACTCATTAGCCGCGCGAAAAACGTCGACGTATTTCTTGTGTATCGAATGTATTTATTGTTTCGATTGTGGTTGTAAGTTGAACGTGAGCTCATTAGTAGAGTTCCGTATTGAGAAAAATCCCTGGGTTATCAGAATAAAAACACATTTCTTGTCTGATGAGAGTTAGGAAAACAAATCGAACAGATACCATTGTAAATTATTCTTCATTATTTGTCATTTTAATAAACATACATTACCTGGAATAATCATATTTGTTCTCGTCTATTTATTGGATGTACAAAATTTATTGTACGCGTACGACTTATAATAGCAGTAACATTAACAAATATAACGACTAGCATCGTAATAGAAGATGTGGTCTGTTTAAAAACAAATGAAACTCTCGCGCCGCGGTAGTTCGTGCTTGAGCGCACGTTACCAAGTTTAGTCAGAGCAAGGCAGCTGCTGTTAGTGTGGTACGTACGTATCTATTGTTTTGAATGTAATATCGCAGCGTAGAAAAGAAAGTTAGTGGAGCAGATAAAATAGAAACGTCTGAAACATTTAATTTAAGCGAAAAGTTATATAAACATTTAAATGTTAGGTTTCTTTGTTAATGCAATTGATTTGTTGAAACGTCAATTCTAATCTTTGTTTTTTTTTAAGTCTAATCTTTGCTAATAATCTGTATATTGTTAGCAGACTAAATTTATGATTTGTTGAGTAGCAATATCTGTCTCCATTAAAAAGGTGCTCAGTGCAGCAAATTGAAAGTAAAAAATCATTTATTCTCAATAATAATTTATTGCACGGGTACTGGTATTTCTTTTAAATATCAAAACGTACTCTCTCAATGCATATCAGTAAAAGTAACATCGATATGTGACATTGATATTATTAGAGTTGTGTCGTAAATTTCAAGACTGTTTTTCATATAATATTAATTATGTAAGATATTGCAAACTATATTAAAATATATAAGCGACTGTATCACGTACGCCAGTAGAATACGAGAGTTTTGTGCTGCGCCCCATTAATTAAACTAATATGCAAGTTTTACTTATGAAAATTATTATGTAACTTTCTTAAAGAATAACGAAAACATTAAAAAGTAAAAATGTGTTTCTTATAATTTCTTTATAAAAAAATTCCAAAGAAATCCTTTTAATTCATGCCTAAAAACTACCCAGAATACTTAATGTGTGACTAGCTTTATCTTTAGATATAATAAGAGTTTAAGAACAAATACAAATCATATAAATAAATTATTAAACCTTCGCATACACACTGGGTGGTTGTCACCCATAGCAATTTTCAAACAACTGTATTTTTTAAATATTAATGCTAAAATTCTGAAAAAATTCATAGTTAATGTTTATAGTAAATTTAATGTTTATAGAAAGTATTTATATGCTTTTGGTATTAAAATTTAAGAAATTTCATATTAAAAAAAATTATATTTCGCGATTTCGCGAAAAAAGTGAATTTTTGCAAAAAAATTTGTAACTTTTGTAACTTTTATTATTTTTAAGTAAAAATTTAGCATTTTATTGTTGAAATGTTTATTTTTAAAGAAAAAATTGTCTTGTAAGTCATCTTTGAAAAAATATATTTATTTTGAATATCAAAGTTCCATTATTTTAATATTTGAAAAAATATTAATTTATAAAAATTTAAATAAAAATAATAAAAATTTATTAAAATATTAATTTATAAAAATTTTTACGTATAAAAATGTAGTTTATTGATTTTTTTATTATTATAGACAACTGAAAAAAGTTGTATAATTATGAAATTACATAAATCATTCTAATTCACCACAATCTAAACATAAATAAGTGCGATGATTATCACACATCGCACGCAAACATGAAGGACATTGCATTTTTGTCTTACAGTCTTTTTTATTTTCGCAAAGAGTACATCGCCTTTGTTTGTTGAACTGCAACCTTTCTTGATTGTTAACATTTCTATCTCGAAGTCTCAAAATTTCAGCGATGCCTCTTTTTATATCGGTCCTTATTGTTGCTGTTTCATAACGATCTATTAAATGTTGTTGGCAAAGTTTTTTTACTATACCTTTCAAGCAATTAACCGCAGTTAATGTATTTGGATATACATGTTCTTGAGCATTTTTTAGTTTGCATACATATAAAATCCTGGCGTTTACTTGAGCCTGGTCAAGAATTCCAAAAAAAAATCGAAGTGGCCATCTAAGTGTCTTTCTCGATGTTGTATACGCATGACACAGTTGGTTGAAAGTATCGGTACAACTTTTTGTTTTATCATAGTGCAAAATTGCAATTGGCTTATTTTTTTCTCCGATATTTGCTGACTGTATGTAGTTACTAGTCAATAAAACAATTTTATTTTTTTTTAGTGTGTGCGCAACCAATATGATGTCATTGTGAAACACAAATTTTGAGGAAGGCACTTCTTTTCCCGATACTTTCATTTCCGCTGGTATTTCGCGTTTATTTTTACAAATAGTACCAGTCATGCGGATCTTATATGGCTCATCCTTCATTTTTTCCATCAGTGGAATCGACATAAACCAATTATTCGCGGTGACACTTCTGTTGGTATTGTGAATTGGAGTAGTTACTTCCTTAAAATAAAATTCAGGAATCGCTTCTGTGGTTCGTGTGTTGGTTTTCCCTAAATACGGAATACCGTTTATCTGCAAAAAGTAATAAAAATTTATTAAAAAATAATTTATAATTTACTAGAAATATATAGAAAATTTTTTAAATTACCAAATAAAACGTTTTTGCGTCGTTTAATGTGATGATTTTCAAACCATATTTATCTGGTTTTTTCGGCATGTACATCTTAAACCTGCAGCGACCTCTAAACTCAAGCAACTGTTCATCTACTGTGCACCAATTACTTGGTTCGTAAAAACGTGTACAATTATTTATAAATTTTGTCCATAATTCTTTAATTGATGCAAGTCGGTCTTCTGGATCACGTGTCTTCTTATCGTCAAATCGCAAACAACTACACAAAAATTCAAATCTTTGCCTTAGCATCACACATCCATAAAATGATAATCCATTTTCCTTGTTCCATAATTCACAAGTGTCAACATGATTTAACTTCCATAATCCTGAGTAGTATAATAAACCGATAAAAGCCATGATTTCAGAGTTATCAGTAAGATGATGATATGTCTGCTTATGTTTATCGTTGCCCATAGTAGCATATACATCTTCAATTTTTGCATTGGTATGCTTAACTATCAAATTCACCATATCAGCATCAAAAAGTAATTGCCAAAATTCAAAAGGTGAATTGCAGTTTCTGGCTTTACCTTTAGGACTAGGAATAATATTTACTTCTTCATCAATTCTGTCTATAAATGAAAAAGTTATGTTTGGTTTTAGATTTATACTAAAAACGATGAAAAAATTAATTTGTACAAAATTATTTTGTAAAATGTTTGTAAAACTTACAAAATTATTTTGCAAAACTTTTTTATTTCATTGAGCAAATACAAAAATTTTACTATTTGTTTTTATATTTCATAAAATATTTTTGGTTTAATATTTCATAAAATATTTTTGTATATAAAATATATAAAATTTTCGAAAATAAAGTCCAATTTATAAATCAAATTTGTACGATACGACAAGATGACCGACAAAGATGCGCAGAGTACACAGCACATATGGTTTCATTACTGACTGCGCACGTGTAAGTTAGATAAGAACAAAAACATTCTTGATTACCTGAGCGTCGTATCGGACCTACGGTATTCCAATTAAAGTCATTTTTTTCACGTAAAATAGATGTTGGTCTATCTCTGGCTCTTGATATTAGAATACGCTGGTCTACTGTACCACTTTGTAAATTATCATCTTCAAAACCAATATCCATTTCATTGTTCGAGCTTTCAGAGCACTCCGAATCACTTTCGTAAGAGTCTTCAGATATGTGACTTTCTTCACTACTCAAAGCATCTTCGCCATAGTTCGCATTTTCTTCCTCTGCAATAACTGCTCTGATCGACCGACGCTGTAGATTGTAAGCCATAGTGCTACGAATATTTCAGACACAAATAATTATATTAGATATATAATACTTATATTAGATATATGAAGAAAATAAAATTCTAATTATATATTTATTTACTTATGTTGACCACAAGAAAAGATGAAAATTAAAGGCACACTTAACTACAAGTAAATTACTACACACTTACTACAAGTAAATATAACGCCGTATACATACACGAGGTAAACACTCAACATTCATTTCAAACGGCTACTAGAAGCTAACTAACACTTATTTTGCTAGCAGAATGGAATCCAAGCATAATTAAAGCCCCAAACTACAATTAGATGGCGACACTAGTTCCATTTATTGCGGTACTTAAAAGGTACAGAGCGCTGAATTTGAATTATGGATGGTAACCACTCAGTATGTATACGAAGGATTAAATGCAACAAAATTTGCTTTTACTGATACTGAACGATGACAGTTAACGATTAAAAATATGAACATGTTTTTTTTAGCTACATCATATAATATTTAATATCCACAAACTTTATATAAATTCAATCCTTTTTAAAACTTTAACACCTTTGTCATATCAAAACAATATTGGTTAGTGAATTATGTGTAGAGAAAAAATACTAAACATTGATAAATATCCATTAATATTTTATTAACATTGATATTTTTTTGCGTATTTCCTCTACATAAAGATTTACATCGCTTCTCCTTACACACACTTTTAATCAGTAACATTTGTGCAAATGTTATACAAATTTTGTTATAATTGCTTTTATATAAAACTGTATAAAATCATGATGTAATTATGATTTGTGCACGATAGAATGATATAAACTAATTAAATATCAGAACTGCATTATGCAGTCGCGAGCAGATATTTAGACGGAAATGGAGATGAAATTGTCAGTCGGTCAATCAATTATTTTATCAATTTTATTACGTAGATATCCTCCTCCTCTCTCTCTCTCCTCTCTCTTTCTATGTGCGAGTGTGTATGTGTGCATGTATGTGCATATCTATAAAAGCTTGTCTGGTATAATTAATCAACACCAAAGTTGGATCAAAGTTGGACAAAGTTAAATCGCGAAACTCAAAGCGAAGCATTCCGTACGATCCCACGTTCATGACCGATTGCCACGAAAGTTTCGACAGCGATACGACTTTCGTACAGAGTAGACGGGAGCTCATCACATTTACATTACTTTGCGGAATCGATCGGTATCGCGTCGAAACTACGGCTGCAAACCAGCTGTTTAGGATTACTCGCCCGCACCAATCAGGACGTTTTGCGCGAAATCGCAACGTAAATATCACTCAGGTGTGAAACACACGGTGGAATGCCAAATCTCATTTAATTAAATATTATAATGAGAACTCTCGCAGAATCGTTGCGTGTGTGTATTCTCGTAAAATAGAATCTGGTAGGTATACGAACGCGACTGATAATTAACGTGATTGCTAATTACAGTTTTCGTTTGGTATCGATGTGTCGATGTATCGATGGAAAGCTGTTATTCGATTCTCTGACATTTATGTTTTGTTTATGTAAATACACTTTGTAGTTTATATTTTCTGTATAATTGTCGTTAGGAATAGCATTTTCAATTATTTTTGTTGAATTCTGCACTTTCTGTGGCAGATTAATTTTGCGGCATAAATTTCTCGTCAGCGTTTTGACGATCGACACATTCTCGAGAAAAAGCGCGTGAAAACTACGCTCATATTTCTTCTTTGAAACCTACCTTTCCTACAGCGAGCGTGACAGTCGAGAGCAAAAATCTTGGATTTAAATTACTTATTTCGTCGTTACGTAGACAGACGCTCGTTTGCAGAAAAGGCTACTGCAAGTGCCATCGTTGTTGTCTAGCGCGAGGAAATGACGCGGCACTGAAGAAATAAAGTAGTTTGTTGTCAGCAGATAAAGAGCAACGGTATCTCCGTAGGGTACTTATTGACGATTCGGGATAATCGCCAAAACAAAGTGCCGGGACGAGATGTTTAATCTTCGGATCGTTAAACGGCTGGCTAAGCTGGTAAATTACTTTCTTTGAGGTTGATAACGCTCCAGCGTTCTTGGGCACGAAAGTTCTCGTCCTAGTGACAATGCTGCGTAATTGTTGGATCTTTATACCAGTGCGACGACGAGGACGACGACGACAGCGTTGGTAGCTATTGTCGCAATACTTCTTTTAATTAAACACACCGTCTATCATCTCGGATGTTGCAGAAACGGATTATCCATTAAAACAGCATCCCTTGTTCCTTCTTGTTGAATGTCTTGAAAAAGAGAAGCGTCCTGATAAAGCATAGTAAGAGAAAGATAGAAAGGAAGAGGGAGAGAGGAAAAGAAAGAGAGAAAGAGAGAGAGAGAGTAGGGAGCGAGGTAGAGAGAAGGGGCGAGAGAGAGGAATTGCGTCTCGTAGATTGACGTATTTCGTTCTCGCAATTACATCCACTGGAAGCGCTACAACTTTTTCAAGCTGCGAAATTTAGCGGCATTATAAAACAAGCGTAATTAACGTTGGATAATAATATTGCGATTTTCGAATCGTCCTTTTTGAGACAGATATCGCGACAGATAATATTGTGAAATGCGTATTGTTAATTTATGAAAATACTTATTATTATAATATTAATTATTAATGTTCCTCCTTGTAATAAGCATTCTCTGTATTGTATCAAACGTGGAAGTCTAATAATAATTCTGTTTTAATTTACGAAATATTTGAATAAACCGATACAGAGAAACGAACGTAAAAAAAATTAAATGGAAGAAATGTAATTCTTCTCTCTCTCTCTTTCTTTCTCTCTCTCTTTCTCTCTTTGTTTTGCTCCACATAAGCGGTATTGTCCGCGGGTTGAAGTTCGGGACGCGGGCAAAATGGATTACATTATTTTAATTGGTTTCGTACGGTTGCCGCGATTCGCACCTTCATATTACTGGGGCGTGAGATGAAATTCCCGCGATTAAATAAACAGCCACGATGCAAAAACAATTACACCGAGACATAAGCTGCGCAATGTAACCGGAATAACTCTTTACTTTATGTGCGCGGAAAAGGTGGAACTGCCACCGTTTTTTTCTAGTGGCCTTTTCATTAACCGGCTAAACTACTCTTCTTCATAAAAGAATGAACGTGGCGCAAGAGTAGCAGAATGCGCGAGGGATAAATTTGCTTAAAAATTAAACCGTTTGTACGCACAAAGGAGATTAGGTAAATTAAGACGTAAGAACTTTGACGTTTTAATGATGAAGATTTTTTGAAGCATAGTCGTCTGTGCGTGGAAGTTAAGAAAAAAACATATTGCTTCACTTGTGCACTCAAAAAAATGTCATATTCCTGATAAAAGAAAATAATTACTCAGTTTACTCTCCTTCCTTTAACTAATGATTATCTTCAACAAAGAATATTCTCTCGATAATAATTTTCAAATATAGGAGAGACTAAATCTAATTGTCATATACTGATTAAAAAAAATGCATGCAATATTTTTTAATATTGTGTACGTTTTCATATAGGTGCAACCTATATGATCTTCAAAAACCTTTAAAAAAAAGAAGAAAAATATTATTTTTTAAATATATTCATACACCAAAAATTATTAAGTTGTAAGCAAAATCATGCAAATGTGACTATCTATCTCGTATCCAGGATTAGTTGTATATATTAGTGTGTCATATCTTTTATGTAAATGAAACAAAACAAATTATTTCTGTTTTAAAGAGATGTAAAGACTGACAACTTTATACAGAATACAGCTAAAAATTTTACCGACATTTTTCTGCACATTTCTGACATTATAAATGTTTTCATGCAATAAAAAAATACGTGCCAAAATAAATAGGAGCATTACTTATGCAACAAAAATAAAAAAAAAGTTTTAAATGTAATAAGATCGCAGATTGTTTAATATTTATCTAATCCAAAAGTTTCGCAGCTTGTACACATCGAAAATGTGCTTCAAACAGAAAAATTTTGAAGGATATTGCTGTACCTCAACATCTGAATTCAGGAGTTTAAGAATATCGGAAAAGTTTGCAAAAAGATTTCTACACATGCGTGGTTCGATTTTCTGTTGAATATGGTAAAACATACAGTAAGGCATACATTTACGTAAGTTCTGTATGTACATAAAATACGAAAAGGATAACGTTATTGTGTTAGAAACGATCGTCTCTGCGTTATCGTCTCTGCGTTATTGTTCAAGTTCATCGACTTCAGCATCCTCTTAAAATATCAAATGTCTCATTAGAGTTAGTAATACTCTGATAATTAGATCAATAAACAATCATTGCACTAAGAAAATAACTCATAAACTTTATAATGGCAACTTTTTTCTCTATATATAAATAAATTTTTTATTATTAATATAACTATTTTATTAATACATATTTTATTAACATTTTATATTCGATAATCTTTCCTGTAATTATTTATTGCTCGGAATTTCGAAACACGTGCGTGTGAAAATCTTTCAATACTTAAGCTGCACAAAATGACAGCTAATTAATATTGATATATAATATATCTAGCTCATTACCTTTATTATTTATTCATTATTTTCTTATTATTATTGCAGAATGTTTTTCATATTATTCGGTGATTCCGACATAAATACGTTCGTGTTATTCGGCTTCAACTTTGGATTCGGGAGGATTACTTTTAATCTACTGCTTATAACGGAAGAGTGAAAAGAGTTTTACGAGGTAACACTTTTATGCGAGAGAACCAAACTACCACGCAACTTTTCTGTTTCTCTTTCATCACGCGGTTTGTGTATGTATAGCTGTAATCTGTTCTGCTTCCGTCACCGGAAATTACCGCTTGCGGCGCCGTCCGGAAATTCGCGAACGAACCTCTCTAATAGTAATAAGCGGTACTGCCGCTCGCTGATTCCAGCCACTTCACCGGAAGTCTCGGTACATTAATCCGAGCTTACGGGTACTCTAAGAAACGCGTCCGGCAAATTACTGGTACCATTGTTTTTTGGTGATTCTTACCACGAAATACGCGCGAAGCTGTGATCCTTCCTCTTTCTTTCTCTCAAACCGATTGTAAGAAACCTCGTGAAAAAAGGACGAGAAATTGAAGCTCGACGGAAGAAACGAAGTGCACTTAACGAATGTTGTGGCATGCACAACATCTAGTGCGCTATCTAACGATGAAACATTTAATTGATCCCCAGCTTTCACCATCCCAGACGCATACTGATATTTTGCGCGTTTCATCGGGTCTAGCAGGATCAACGATAATCTGCGGCTGCATAAATTTCTGGCCGCTGCAATGGCGTCGCGTACCAGGGCGAATTCAGGGTGGATCCAGAACGTGATAATCGACCGATGCATAAATCCTTCAGGTCAAGCAAAATCGGAACAGCAAGCAGGCGAACGTCGCGTGAAAATATTTG